CAGTTGAGTGACACTTAGAAGTCTTGTCCCTACCCTAGCCTGTGACAGGACAGTGAAGAAGAAGCAGCACACCAGTTAGTTCATCTTCCTGTCATTCTGTTCTCTCCTCCAGTCAGCACACCCCTTGTTTTCATATTAGCATGCAAAACTGTTTGGCTCCTTGTGCTGTTTATAAAATACATGTAATGATTGGTTAAAGGTGATAAATATAGTTTGGTAATCATTAATACAATATTAAATGTATTAAAAATAAGTACCTCAATTTGACTTGGTATTAGCCATTTGTAGTCCCTGTTAAGTTAATGCGCTGAGAAGAAACATGCTGGTATCAGAATGACAGAGAAGAAGAAATCATCATTGTACTGTCTCATACTCCTTGACCAATTACAAGTTTATGTCATCCTGGGTTTAGAGGATGTGGGTTGAATGATATTGGTCAATCCGGAATACTGAGAACATCTATTAGTGGAATAGAAGTACTCTGGACTGAAGGTCAGTAATGTAACAAAAAACTGCTTCATTTATTCTCTCTTTTAATGGGAAACTGTTTGTTTTGTCTTTTTTAACTGGACTTTTATTTGAAAGGAAACAGGGTTGTATTAATTGCATGTTTTTTTTTTTTTGCCTTCCTCTGGATCAACTATAGGTATAGGATTATAACTTTTTTTCTTTTTCTTTTTTTTATGGTTGAACTGGATGGACTTTTGTCATTTTTTCAGCCAGACTATGTAACTATGTTTTGATGAGGCCAGAGTTTAGCATTTAAAACATAATTGAAGTTCCACTGTAGGAAACAGTGAGCAGGCAGGCTTCTCTTCTGCAATAAAATGCCCATTCTTGCCTTCTCGTTGTCTTCTCTGGTGTTGTAAACTAAGCTGCGCATGCGCAGCTCAGCTTACAGTGTCGGGCCAGCCTCTGAGTGCCGGGATGACCAGCTCCTGCACATGCGCAGGACTGACATCATCCTCTGCCAGCCAAAGAAGAGACCCGAAGACCGGCACTCAGAAGAAGATGACAGTGCTGGTAAGGAAACGCTGGACAGGTAAGTATTCACTCTTTGGTTCCACTTTAACAAAGAAAATGCTAGAATTTCATTTTACATCTGACGAATACAGAAATATGCATACATGAATCCTGTGAGTGTCAGGCATCATTCACACTTGCAATAATTGGCAGACTATGAATTCCTGCTGGCGATTCAAACTGCTACATGTCCAATTACATTTGAACAGCCGCAAATGGTTGTGGCACTGTCAGCTTTTCATTTCTATGTATAGGGTTTCCTGTCCTACGCTGTTCACATGAACTCCTTTGGGTCTACCCAGGAATTTATAATCTGCCAATAATTGTGAAAAAGGCCTTAAAGTATTTAGTTTTGGATAGAGTGTAAATGGATTGGAACCTCTGTCAGTTTCTATTGCTGTCTGTGCCCCCATTAAGGAGATTCACCCTCCCTATATGTCCTGTTTACCATTATCCTTGTAAGTGAAAGTAAAGAAAATCCAAAGTCCATTACCTGTTCCTTTAATGATGCTACCATTGTAGCCATTATAATTAGTAGTGTTTATCAAACCTGGTTTTAAGTTTACTACTGTAGCCCAGTGCTGGTCAACCTACCTGTCCCCTCGCAAGACATTTATAATAAGAACTATAAAAATAATACTACAGCCCAAAAATAAACTAATAAGAATAATATCATCAGTGATAAAAATAAATAATAAAGTCCACTGTCCCAAATTAAAATGGTGAAAAAAGTGATCCAATCAAAAAAAAGTGCCAAAGGACAGTTCAATGTGTTCCTTAAATCATATCCCAACACCATCCTTGATCACATTCGATATAATCCACACTCACCAAATTTGATGGACTGGAGAGTCAAATAAGCTTTTAAGGTGAAGTGTGTTCTCCAGAACAAATCCAGATGTGAGGAAAAATGTTTGCTTGACATTCTCCACCGAGCACCGAGCAACGACCAACGACCACCAATAGGACAGATGAGATGCAAAGAAACAATAGGGACACTAATAGTGTAATACTCTTTAAAGTCATTAAAACCAAGGCGATAAAAGCACTCACATTTGACAAGATAAAAAGAAGCCTTATAAGTATACAACTTTTCCACTTCCGAAAGCGTTTGGACTAACTCCAATTAATGGCTCCCACATGAAAGGATAATGGAGTGACAGCAGTGCGGTTTCCACATCACAATTTGCTAAGACCAGCAAGTATATGCTCCCTTCCCATCAAAGATGAGTGCTACGGATAGTGTGCGCTCCACTCACCTGATGTGACCTCACAAAGCCTCCCGACCCTGGTCTGTGATAATGCCCTGGAGAAGGGGCAAAATGCATCAACATAATTTCCGGTGGTTGTTGGAGATTGTCAGGCAAGCATTTTCCCTCTGATTTGGATTTATTCTGGAGAACACACTTCACCTTAAAAGCTTATTTAAGCCATACAAGCTAAGAGTCCATTATATTTGGTGAGTGTGGATTATATCGGAGGTGATCACAGATGGTGTGGGGATATGATTTAAAGAACACACTGAACTTTTCTTTGGCACTGTTTTTTGATTGGAGCACTTTTTCACCGTTTTAATTTGGGACAGTGGACTTTATAATTTATTTTTTATCACTGATGGTATTATATTTATTGTTTGTTTATTTTTGCGCTGTAGTATTATTTTTATGTTTGGTTGTTTTTACCTTATGAGCAGCGGAAATAATTATTTGAATATATAATAATCTTTAGGCGCTGTTTACTATTTATACAAATAATAAGAACTATGTTGACCTAATGCCCCTCTAGTGTTTAGGTATAATAGTGACATTTTGTTCAGGAGCACCAAGAAAAAGAGGAGGATCCAACAAAAGTGAGGGATTGTGGGACATGTAGTCCAGATGGTTGAGATTTGCAAGAAGCCAATGCCGCGGTGGACTACAGGTTCCAGCTGGGTGGAGGAGGGGGAAGTGAATGCTGAGAGAGAATATATATTTCAGCCACCGGAAAATGCTCTTCCTCTTGGGACTACGGGTTGAATCTGCAAACAGGGACCTCGCTGCTGTGAGAGCGGAGCAGGCCGCGTGGTCCAGACAGTGTGGAGAGTCTTCAGTGAGAGAGATATCTACCTGCAAGCAGATCACCTGTCCACAGCTTCCTGTTGGCAGAATGACTGACCCGAGATGCGAGCATTCTCAGTTACAGCGAAATCCCAGTGTCACTAGGTGCTAGGCCGAGCATCCCACGCTGGTTGGAGCTTCTGCAGGAGCTTTCCAGGACATCCTGGATACCTTGTACCATCAGGATTGGTGAGCAGGCAGAAGCCCACATGGTGTACACTCTTCAATAAGGGGCACTGCATGCAGACACCTTTTATACCTCACACCTGCTTACAAATGTGCGATCTTTACCTAGCATCATCTACTTAAAATATCTATTATTGCTGGTCACTAGAGATGAGCGAAGTATTCAAAAATTCGATTCGACTGATTCGGCGAATTTGTGAAAAAATTTCGATTCGAGTCGAATATATTCGCTGCGAATTTAACTTATAAAAGGGTGTTTCTAGGCTTCAGAGAGCCTTTATATTAGTGCAGAACACTGTACCTTTAATTTAAATGCCCTTGGAGTCTGCTGGGGAAGAGAAATAATACTGACAGTCAATATGACATGCAGATGAGTGCCGTCGATCTTAGAATCACCGCACACTTCACTCATTTGGGCAGTCACGGGGCCAAAACCAGAGTGTGGAGCCACAGTGTGGCGGTGGAGGCAGCAGCAATGGGAGGCCATACAGCACCCTATGACAAAAATGGAAACCACCAGCAGTGTGTGAGGACCTGAAAGTGGCACATGGCAGAGTGTGGCGATGGAGACAGCAGCAATGGGAGGCCGTACAGGGACCCATGACACACTCTGGACCTGGCAGCAGCATGAGGAGGCGGGTACAGGGGCCCATGACAGATTACGGGCCTGGCAGCAGCATGAGGAGTCGGTACGGGGGCCCATGACACACTCTGGACCTGGCAGCAGCATGAGGAGGCGGTACAGGGGCGCATGACAGATTACGAGCCTGGCAGCAGCAACTTGGACAGAGGACGTTCAGCTTCTGCACCGTCGGGTGCGTGCTCGCAAACTGTTGTCTCTTGGAAACGGATTTCCAAGAAAGACTGCTGACGGAATCCGTGAAGAGGAGTAGCAGGAGAAGGAGCATCTGAACGAGCGGAATATGCCAACAAGCGACAACAGGGGCCCATGACAGATTACGGGCCTGGCAAGCAGCATGAGGAGTCGGTACGGGGGCCCATGGCAGATTACGGGCCTGGCAGCAGCAATGGGAGGCCCGTAATCTGCCAGCACCCTATGACAAAAAATGGAACACACCAGCAGTGTGAGGAGACCTGAAAGTGGCACATGGCAGAGTGTGGCGATGGAGACAGCAGCAATGGGAGGCCGTACAGGGACCCATGAGAGACTGTGGACCTGGCAGCAGCATGAGGAGGCGGTACTGGGGCCCATGGCAGATTAGGGGCCTGGCAGCAGCAATGGGAGGCCCGTAATCTGCCAGCACCCTATGACAAAAAATGGAACACACCAGCAGTGTGTGAGGAGACCTGAAAGTGGCACATGGCAGAGTGTGGCGATGGAGACAGCAGCAATGGGAGGCCGTACAGGGACCCATGAGAGACTCTGGACCTGGCAGCAGCATGAGGAGGCGGTACAGGGGCCCATGGCAAGATTAGGGGCCTGGCAGCAGCTATGGGAGGCCCGTAATCTGCCAGCACCCTATGACAAAAAATGGAACACACCAGCAGTGTGAGGAGACCTGAAAGTGGCACATGGCAGAGTGTGGCGATGGAGACAGCAGCAATGGGAGGCCGTACAGGGACCCATGAGAGACTGTGGACCTGGCAGCAGCATGAGGAGGCGGTACTGGGGCCCATGGCAGATTACGGGCCTGGCAGCAGCAATGGGAGGCCCGTAATCTGCCAGCACCCTATGACAAAAAATGGAACACACCAGCAGTGTGAGGAGACCTGAAAATGGCACATGGCAGAGTGTGGTGATGGAGACAGCAGCAATGGGAGGCGGTTCAGGGACCCATGAGACACTGTGGACCTGGCAGCAGCATGAGGAGGCGTTACAGGGGCCCATGGCAGATTAAGGCCTGGCAGCAGCAATGGGAGGCCCGTAATCTGCCAGCACCCTATGACAAAATGGAACCCTGGGCTGGGGCAGGCAGAACCGCCGTATCTTTATCACGGTTTTCCCAGGCCACCAAATGGCGACGCTTGCATATGCTGACGCAACGCTGTAGTCCCAACATGGGCCCCCTGGCCACGCTTGACTTTCTGGCCACATAGTCGACATACGGCTACGTTTACTTCCTCGGGCGGCATGACGAAAAATTGCCCACCCACACCGCCGAATAGGAAACTTTGCCCCCGCTACTCCTCACTGGCTGACTGCTACTTCCTCCGTGCACACCGGCACCACTACTGGCCGTGGTGGTAGGCTGCAGTGGGAGTGGTGCTCTACTCCGTGGCCGTTTGCCTCCACTGACACTGCTGCGACCCTGCTGCCTCCTGGCAGCAGCAATGGGAGGCCGTACAGGGACCCATGACACACTCTGGACCTGGCAGCAGCATGAAGAGGCGGTACAGGGGCCCATGGCAGATTACGGGCCTCGCAAGAGCAGCAATGGGAGGCCCGTAAATCTGCCAGCACCCTATGACAAAAAATGGAACACACCAGCAGTGTGTGAAAAGACTTGAAAGTGGCACATGGCATGAGACACTGTGGACCTGGCAGCAGCATGAGGAGGCGGTACAGGGGCCCATGGCCAGATTAGGGGCCTGGCAGCAGCTATGGGAGGCCCGTTAATCTGCCAGCACCCTATGACAAAAAATGGAACACACCGGGGGGGGGGGGGG